ATCTAGGCCATGGCACTACCTCAGCTCAGGGTTACCCAGGGAATCCCCACGAGTCAGGTCCTCCCCAGTCCCCAGGTGATGGAGGCACTATACCAACCAGAGAATTACTGTGGGCACCACAGAGGCTGGGACTTCCAGGAAGGCAGGAGGGGAATAGCAGAGCCTCGCCTATGCCCAGAAGCTGTTGCCCTGGCTGAGTCACCATTTCCAACCCTCACACACTCCCTGGGTAAGTGCCTCACAGTGTTATGCAGCTTTGGCCGAACAGGAAGAGAAGAAGAGCAATGGGCAGATCGTGGCTCACTCAAGGTCTTAGAACCTCTCTGTGTGTAGGAAGCCAGCACCTGTCCCTGGGCATGGGAGAAAGCAGTCCAGAAGAGGATTCCCAAATCCCTACCAGTTAATTTGCACAGGTATGAGTCCAATGCCAGCAGCCTTACTGAGCAGGGAAAAGGGCTGGGAAGGAGATAGAGAATGGTGGACAATGTCTGAAAGATAAAATTGCACATAATAGAGCAAGACGTGTGTATAAACCCAGACTATGCCAACTATGCAAACCTTTCATGTGCAGGATGAGTAGATTTGCCAGGGTCAGGGAGGTATGCCATGTGGTAAGTGTGGTAATTGTGTGATATTCGTATTTGCAATGTGTCTAAGAAGATGGAGGGAGTGGGTGAGACAGTGGGTAATGCATGCAGGTCTGTGGGTTTGGATATGGTATGTTAATCAGGCAGTCACCGTAGCCTCCATACTTGCTTACAGTCAGTGTCTCTCAGGGTCCTGTTAATATTCCCCATCTCAGAGCCCAGAGACAGAGCTGTGTGCAGTCTCCTTGCTATTCTATACCCTTCCCAACACACACACACACACACACACACACACACACACACTGTATACACAGCTTCTATTAATACTTTAAGGAAAAAAAAACAAAGGTGAGCTATCCGGTCATGCTCCCAGACCTACTGACTCCATGAAGAGTATCCTCACTTTGTTTTTCACAGCTCCTACTTGGCTGCAGTATCCCAGTTTCCTTGTACCCAAGATGCTAAGCCTACCCCTCCAGAGTTGCTTTCTACTCCATTCACTCTCTAAGGTCCTCACCTCTTGCATTCAGGAATCACAGAAGGGACCAATCATCCAACCAGCCAGCCACACCTCTACCAATTAACCACAGCTTATCTGTCGTTCCATCTACATATCTATTAACTGATCAATTTATCCATCTATCTGTCTTACAAAGGCTTATTGAAAGTACAGGGATTGTTTTCTGCCTTAAAAAGAGTCATAGAGAAGTAGAAATGGGGAGTTATTGAATGAGTACACTACATGTTTTAGTTCTGCAACATGAAAACATTCTGGAGATCTGTCTCACAGTGTGTGTACCTAACACTACTGAATTGTATATATTAAAATTATAAGCTTTATATGTTTTTACCATAATTAAAAATAAAATTCTGAAAGTAGAGGAGGGACTATTAGAGAAGGGAAAGGGGCCATTAAAGAAGGAGATGGTGGGAAGGAAAAAAAGAGGATAGAAGGGAGAGTGGACAGCATGATATATGCATGTAGGGAAATGTCACAGTGAAATCCATTAATTTGTACAATTAATGTACATTAATAATTATAATTTTAAAATCTACAAGCAAGAGTGAAAATGGTCAATTAATTATGATAAATATATTTATGTTTATTGTGCATGTAGAAATTTACTTCATATTAGAATAAATCAATAAACAATATAAATTTTTTAATGGCTGAATATGGTTGCATATGTCTAAACCTAGCATTCTAGGAGACTGAGGCAGGAGGATTGAAAGTTCAAGCCCACCCTGGGCAATGTAGAGACTTAGCAAGACCCTATCTCAAAATTTAAAAAACAAAAAGAAAAGCAAAAGGATGGGAATGCAGTTCAATGTGAAGGTCTTGGATTCAATCTCCAGTGCCAAAAAAAATAATCCTCATACCGTCTGTGACCCAACAGGGAGTTATTCTCAGTCTTCTCTGTTGCTCTGTGGGAAGCTTTGAAAAGGATAATAATGGCTTCAGTGCCAGTGTCTCTGTGAAGACTTTTTTTCCATTGTAGAACATTTAGGAAATAAGAGATGTTGAAGAAGGAAATTAACAGAGTCAAAGCAGGAACAGAGAAGAGGAAAACTGAGATCAGGGAGGGAATGAGCAAAGAACACAGGCAAGCTTGCCTCTCAACACCTATAGATGATATCTTGAAGTCAAATGTAATCAGAGGACCCAGAGTGAAGAGAAGCTCACAGTGTGGCAAAGGTGAGGTAAGTGTGGAGGGAGAGGCCTCAGAGAGGACAGGCAGGATCCAGAGGAAGCCCAGCTTTACTCATGGAAGGAAAACTGAGATGCTACTCATGCATCCACTCAAGGAACCCAAAACATCCATAATGTGGCAAGACCTATAATAATGTCCATACTCTAGCCAATAATTATACTCCTAGAATTTAAATTAAGGAAATATGTTGACAAAACCAAGTGAAGACGTGCACATTGTTTGCATTATCTACAATATGAAAACTATGGAGCAGCTTAAATCACAATAATATGACAAGTGCTTGTTAAATGTTAATGGGAAATTTAATGGATTACTACAAGAAACTTTTTTTAAAATGATCATTCAGAATACCATGTGGTTTCATGGCAAAAGTTTACAGCAAACATTACAAAAAGATAGGGAGAAGACCAAATACTACACAAGCTAGTATTATACTTGTGTAGAATGGGTTTTCAGTGAGACAAATACTTCAAGGCATTACAATAAAGAAAACAATTTACTAAGATGATAGAATCATGAATGACTTTATTCCAAATATTTCTTAAGTATTGTGAATTGAAAAAATAATCTCTAAAAATTTGCAAACAGCAGATCTTTTCCATGTTATCTAAGTGATGTGGCCATGTGAAGGATTATTGACAAATGGCTTCAGACATTCCAAACTCACTAGTTCATCTCCCAAAAGTATAGAGTTAGGCTATTGGCTTCACTGGAGATATAGGAGGTTGAAACCTCAGGCTTAAAGATAAAATTCTGCTTCTGCTACTCACTATCTGATCTGCAAAGAAACTCTTGCAGCTCTGGTTCCTTTCCTGCAGTGACAAAAATAATAATTATCACTAGTGTTGTTAGAGATATAAAGGTTAATTGAGATACTGCACAATTCCCAGCACACAGCAATCTCTAAATGTAAACTAGAGTAAATGGTTTTAGGCAAGAAAATATGGTGAGAGAACAGAGTGAAGGTGGGATAAAAGTCTGGTCTATGAGCAATGTGCAGAATGTTTGAAATTCTCTTCCCTAAATATACACAGGGATGGACTAACCCCAAGTGTGGGGTGAATGTGAGTGGTCAAAATTTGGCAAATCCTGGGACCCAGGGCTTCTGAAAGGGTTGAGTTTCCTATCTTTATCTAAATTGTTGCCTGACTTTAGGCAAATCATTTAATCTTTGTTCATCAGTTTCCCTGTCTTTATAACTGGCTTTTATTAATTGATTCACCTTATAAATACTTACAGAAGACTCAGCATGGCCTAGTACCATGCTAGTTTTTGTGCTAATTGAACTTATCTCTAAGACACTAGTTAATGTAGCGGTTAAGTGTACAAACTCCCACATTACACCTGGGTTGGAGCCCAAACTCTCACCAGGTGTTTGACTTGGAAAAATTTACTTATACTGTCTGGGCTTCCATTTCCTTATCTGTAAAGTGGAGAAACTAATGATTTCTATGTCTCATTTGATTGTGAAGATCCAATGGTTTAAAGAGTGTTAAATCCTTATCACAGTGCCTGGCAAGGACCAGGAACTTAGGAAACATTAGCAGTTGCCCAAACAGACAACTCTGCTCCCACCTCCCATTTTGCCCTGCATGATCTTACAGTGGAGACTTTATGCTGAGAAGTGCTGGAGCAGAAGCACATGCAGTGTCTCGTAGGGGTATAGATAAATGTAACTTCTTCAAATATTGGGAGAGCGTTCTGATGCAAGAGGAGTTAGAAATTCTATGAACTACTACACATTGAGCCAAGACCAATAAAATGGAGACTTTTCAACAGGGAGAGGAAGCCAAAGCTAAAAGGGGTTACTTCAGTAGGTGATGAGTGCCCTTGCCACTGCAGCTTTGAAACAGACACTGTATAGCATCCTTTCCAAATGCTGTAGATAAACTGTGAGCACTGTGACATGGAAATATGTGGCCTAAATGTCACTAAATGACACTTCTAATCCTGAATTCCATGGATAATTATTTCTGAGCATGAGATGCAAGAGCACCAAAAACTACTATGAGGCAGTGGAACTTGAGCTGAGACCCAAAGAATAAGTGAGATTTTAATAGAAAGAGGGAGGTCTGAGAGAACATGGTGTGCTGGGACAGTGCAGCTAGTGTGGTCAATCACAAGGGTCTAGTTAAGAGGAGAAGAAAGGAATGGGGCAGGTGCCATACTCCCAAAGCATGATGTAACTGGGCAGTCTTATCACAAATAGTCATGTCACTGTGTGACATTCTAAACTTTCAGCTCTCCTGTGACCACTAGACACCAGCCTAGGACCATCCCTCATGTACTCTGATTTGTTTGGGGCTCCTCTTTCAGTTTGGAAAGTACAAAGTGGTCAAGACTATAGTAGCTATTCCAATCCCTCCTTCTGAAGAAAGACCCAAAGTACAGAGTTGTGTTCTTTCCACATGGCATGAGACCTCAGACACAGGACCCCAGCATGGGAAACAGTGGGAAATGAATGGGATTTGGAGTTAAGAGATTTAGGTTCAAGTCCCAGTCCTGTCCCTCTTTGGGTATTAGCTCAGGCAAGTTGTTTAATCTCTCTGAGACCCCTCACTCATTCATAAAGAGAAAATAATAATTCTCACTTGACTTTGAGAGGGACTATATGGAAAATGCTTTACAGAATTACAGAAATGCTGGTTGTTTCTAAATAACTTCTTTTTCTCCCCTGTGCCATAGCTTCTGGTCTGGAAAGATGCCTGAGAAAAATGACACTGTGCTGACTGAATTCCTCCTTCTGGGATTCTCTGACCTCAAGTCCTTTCAGGGGCCACTGTTCTGGGTGGTGCTTCTGGTCTACCTGGTCACCTTGCTGGGTAACTCCCTGATCATCATCCTCACACAGGCCATATTGCATTCCCCCATGTACTTCTTCCTGCGCCACCTCTCCATGGTGGAGATCCTCTACACCACCACCATTGTTCCCAGGACCCTAGCAGACCTGGCTTTGCCATACCCCAGGGCAATATCCTTCCAGAGCTGTGTAGCCCAAATGTATGTCTTCATTGTCCTGGGCATCTCAGAGTGCTGTTTGCTCACAGCCATGGCCTATGACCGGTATGCGGCCATCTGCCGGCCCCTACATTACTCCACTCTCATGAGTAAACAAGCATGCATGGCCATGGTGGCCACCTCCTGGCTCATGGGCATCATCACAGCCACCACCCATTCCTCTCTCATCTTCACTCTGCCTTACCCCAACCACCCAGTCATCCCACACTTCCTCTGTGACATCCTGCCAGTATTGAGGTTGGCAAGTGCTGGAAAGCACAGGAGTGAAATCTCCGTGATGACAGCCACTGTGGTCTTTATAATGATCCCCTTCTCACTGATTGTTACCTCCTATGCCCGTATTCTGGGTGCCATCCTGGCTATGGCTTCAACCCAGAGCCGCCGAAAGGTCTTCTCTACCTGCTCCTCCCACCTGCTTGTGGTCTCCCTCTTCTTTGGAACAGCCACTATCACCTACATCCAGCCCCAAGCAGGCTCCTCTGTCATCAGAGATAGAATCCTCAGTCTCTTCTACACAGTCATCACACCCATGTTGAATCCCATCATCTATACCCTTCGAAACAAAGAGGTGACAGAATCTTTGCAACACATGATGAAGAGACAGGTCCCTTCACTCTGAAGGGACTCAAGGGATGCTTACTCTTTCACTGACTGCTCATTCCTCATCCTCCCAGTCATCAGATGCTGTACTTTGATATTAGCCTAGCACAAACCATGAAACAAATAATGCCTCAAGGTAGAGGCTGCTGGAGAGAAAGAGAGAGAGAGAATAGTCCACACTCACTGTCAGAGCATGAGTTATTAGCATAAAGTAGAACAGAAGATTTTTCTGCCTTGAAGAAAAATACTTAGCGTCCTCAAGATTTCTCTGGATGCCTGGGTAAAGGAACTGCCAAAATACACCAGTTTCCAAAGGTCTATGGACTTGATACTCAACTAAAAAGCCACCCAGAGGCCATGGAGGAGTCTGCCTGGCCCTCTGGTTGCCTTTTCTTCCACATATGTGTCTTAATCTAATTGGGGGTACATTTGTCATACTTTAGACTTCAGGAGAAGTGTTCTAGACATTAGATTCACTCCTAAGAAAGATACCAGCACAAAGTGAAAGGTGGTTAGATTGTATCAAAAATAGGGGTTAAATATCAAGAAAAACTTTGATCCTATGACATATTCCAAAAAACACACTGGAGGCATGTACACCAGATACCTTCTGTGAGGGAGCTAGCTGGTCAAGGATTCCAGATATCCACTGGCCTAAAAGGCAAGATCCAGAGCTAAACCCATAAGGAGGCAGAAGTGAGGATTGTGACAATAAAGCACTCTTCAGGATAGGGTACTGGTGCAACTGCCTTGGTGCCTCCCAGCAGGCTACAAATGGAGGTTCCTGCTGCCATTTCCCTGAGTCTCCTTCCTAATGAGAAAACAGGAAAAGACTGATGTGAAAAAACAGACCATTTCAGGTAATGCCTCCCTGGCTCCCCAGCCATTCACACACCTACCTTCACCACCTCCATGTTCTCCACACATTAGCCTTCAGTAGTTATGGCTTTCAGTGAAGAATCACAACTGCCAGCACTTCATCAATGACTTGAGCTGCCCAGGAAGCAATGAGAGTCCAGTCTTCTCTCACACCACCTTCTAATCTTTGAACTGTCCTTATCCTGCAAAGACATGCCTCCTCTGAGAAGAACTTGTTCACACAGGAATTAGTGTTTTCCTCTGCAGCTAGCCATACTTTGCCCCTCTTCTCAGCTCATGTCCCACAGAATTCCCCACATCCAGGCAGACTTCTGTGCCTTTTCACAAGGTGTTCTAACAGAAATTTCCACACACATTTCATCCAATATGTCCACCTGGCAAACTGCTATTCATCCTTTAAGATTCAACTGAAGGATCTCCATGAAATTTGTTACCTGAAATACATTTAATTATTCCTCTCTTTATGCTACTGCCATTGTAAACCTTTTTACAATGAATTATTACTATTTTTTCATATTTTTTCATCTACTTCTAAGCTGTTAGTAATCTGAACAGAGGAAAAGAGGACTCATTCCTTGTCAGTCCCCAACTAGCTTGATGAATGTGATTGAATGAATCACTCAGGAATGATAATGCTCATATAGTCATTTGATAAATTTGAAAAAGTTATACAAAATTCTGTTTATTAAACTACTTAAATTTCATGTTCTAACTGACTCCCAGAGATGTTCAAAAATGCCAGTTCATTCTGAGACCAACAAAATTATTAAGCCTGCTCGCCTTGAAATATTTCTCATGACTCCTCTTCCTAGCTTCCCCAACCCTTGATTTCTGACACTATCTATAAGTGGTGACAACCTGTCTGGCTGAACAACAGAATGTCCTCAGCCTCACTGGGCCATCAGCTTTATTCCCTACAATTTCACCAGCTCCCAGACTAGGGGAGGCCCTGAGGCCTCCCTACCGAGGACCTGGAGAACAGACACTGAATATTCATTATGACCACTCAGAATTTGACCCTCTTTCAGTGTTTCCTAAATTCTCCTACTTTAGAAGGAATGGGAAGAGAAAGACTGACTCCCACTTTAGTCCTAAGAATGCTTTCCAGGCTCCCAGGCATGTGATCTCCATCCAAAAAATCAGATGCTCCCATGCCTAAATAGGACTGAGTAGGTGGTACCCACAAGTGGCAAGAAGCTGCAGGCAGTCCCTCTCAGGCAGCAGCAAAGATGACTGCAAGGGCAGTTGTCAGCCTAGAACCAGCATCTGGGCAAAATCTAGCAAGAATGATTTCCTCAACTGACCAGGTTGTGTTTGGTAATTAAACCTAGAAGCTCAGCCTCTGGCATGATCTCCAGCCCTCCCCACATCTCTGTGTACTGCTCTTGGTTAATCAATTGTTTTTGTGAATCATAATAGAGGGAATCAAGAATTTTTGACTGATATCATAGGTGTGGGGAAAGAAAGTATCACCGGAAAACTTTAACCTTTGGTACTAGGGACGAAGTTGCATTGGAGAAAACTCTCTGCTTTGAGAGATTAGCTACAGGGAATTTGGGATTATATAACATTTTCAGGATCCATCCTGCCACTCCCAGCACAGAGGAAATGTCTTTTGGGCCACCTTCTGTCCTGCCACTCCCAGCCCAGAGGTAGGGGCTTCTGAGCTCCTGTCCCACTGCTCCTGGTCCAGAGGAAGGGGCTTCCTAGGCACCATCCCTCCCACCACTCCCAGCCCAGAGAAAAGGGCTTTTGGGCCACCTTCTGTACTGCCGCTCCCAGCCCAGAGGAAGGGGCTTCCAGACCACCATCCCTAAAGCCACTCCCAGCCCCTGTCCCACCTCTCCCAGCTCAGAAGAGGTGAGCAGTGTGGGTGCCAAGAGAATCACCCTGCACAACCAGGTGAAATGAGAAAACACATAATTAGGTATCAAAACCAGACTTCCAGGTCACCTACAGCAACCCCAAAGGGAAATGAGATGGAACACTCTGATACTCAACAACCTGGATCCACTGAACTGGCAACAAAAGGGGATCTGGAAAAAATGAAATCAGAAATAATTTCTCAGATAAGAGGAGAAATTGTGCCCCTAGTGCAAGACATG